TCTGGCCATCTCTCACTTTTTGTGACATAATGTTGTAGTACTTAATCTCATTAGTTCCATAGCTATTTTGCTTTTCCCATTGTTCCTTTTTTTAAATAAATTACACACAAAATTATTTTGTGTAATTACTACTTATAAACTATCAGGCTCCTAGAGTCTATTAAAATTTAATAATACCTGAATCATTAAAAAGGATATGTCATGTTTAACATAAATAGGAACTCCCCGTTATTGTGTCAAATGAGTTCCATGGGCATTGAATTATTGTGAAACTGGTAACTTAATAATCCATGAGCTCCATCCATGTGTTATGAAAATAAGCAAAGGATTGGGATGTTGTGCAATGCAAGTTAATGATGCTGTGGAAAACTTGTGGTTTTATTACTGGGCTCTCCCTTTTATATACTGGTTAACACTGCTGAATTTTCACTGCATATGCTGCTGTTTTGCTTGGGTCAAACAAAATATCCACTATGGGCCTTTAAATATTTTGGTTTTAAAAGTCAGAATATCATCATTGTTATTTAGGAGATAAAAAAAAATGTGCTACACCAAAGTAGTGCTCCAGGGTGTTTCTTACCCCCTCCAACCTATACAAACTGGCATATAGCAGAACTGTAGACAATATGAATAACAATTGTTCACTGATAGACTCTTCTATGGGCCTGCATAACCTGTAATCTATGGAGCCTGAATTAAGTAGCATATAGCCTTTGTCGCCCCTTATCCGAGCTGTGCACTTGTAAAGAAGTGTACGGATAATCGCCTAAATCTAATTAGGGGTTAAAAGAGGCCATGACGGTGATGTGGCAGCAAGACACCTTACTGTATCAATCCTGTTTGCATTTGAAAAATAAGGTTGTCATATTGATTATTCAGATGAGCTCCTATTAGCTTTGGCTCAGTGGCTTGTAGCACAGCTGAATCAGCTGAAGTTTTTTTTGCTTAACAGAAGGAAACATGCTACGGGCCAATATCGTCTTATTTGTAGTTCACATTCTACCTCCTAAATTGGTGGCAGACGTGATACGATTGGACGGCTTGTATGTATATGCGGCTGTGTGCTTCTGAATGTTTAGAAATCATAAACGTTAAAACGAAGATATGTGATGTCTTATGCAATATAAACATGTTTTTCCTTGTAAAATGTATTATCGTTAATCCATTCTAGAGTACCATTAGAATGTCATGTATTACTGCTCAGGCTAAGTCTAATTACTGTTTACTCAAGTTATTGCCACCAATGGACTGCATTGATTTTGATTCAATGTGATATTTTTGATGGCGTGTGTATAATAGTTGATTAAACCAATGAATGTGCACAATACCCACCCTAAAATAAAGATTAATATGTTGTGGAACTTGGAGCAATGTGCAGAGTACAATAAACTACAGCAACAAATCCAGTAATGTTACCAGCACAAGACAGATTTTGACAGTTTTTTTTTGTGTACTGTGAATTGCATGTTTGAGAAAGAATATACTGTATGTTTATGCATGTTACTGGACTTCCAGTTAGTATTTTTAACATATACATGTAATATACAGTATACAAAATTTGATTTTGTTTGTAAAATATCTGTTTCAATTGTAGCACATTTACAGCTTCATTTGTATAGCCACAACTTAATCAGTGTCAAGTTTTTATCATGAACATGTAATGAAATTGCACAGTTCTTTCATGCACACTCACTCCTCTTCATAAGGAAAAAATGAACAATAACGCCTGGAAGCCATAATCAACTATGGCTGATCTTTCATAGTATTTGGGGTATTTTACTAAAGCACCTTCATTAAGTTTAAAATGGTAGTAAGCTTTTTTCTTTTAAAATCTGCTGACAGGCAGGGTTTTTATAACAGAAGAGACCCTAGAGATCTCTTCTGTCATAAATGCCTTCCTGCCTGCGGGTAATGCTCATCTCAGACTGCATTTACGGCCTGCTCTGCGAGCCCAATGCGGTGTGACTCTCATGCACATGTGTGGGAGTGATGTTACCACAGCCCGGCCAATCAAGCAGTCAAAAATTCAGAACCCAGAAGTAGGACCAGGTTAACATGGAAGCGCCTGGAACTCTTTGGGAGCTGTAACAGCCCAGTATTGGAGGTCTCCGTTTGTAGGTAGGTCTCTCATAATGTACTAATATGCAGTGCGTACTAGTACATTATGGCTTAAACGTGCAGGGGGCACAATATTTTAGTTTCTGATAGAGACTTTACTACCGCTTTTAATGCTTCATGTTTTCTGCATGTCGTATCCATCTAGACTTTCTTTTGTTCCCTTAAAGAATTCACCTTTGGAAACATGTTACATGTGCCACCCGTTATGTTAAAAAAAATCGCGGCTGTGCGGGGCTCTGTCCACCATGCTGCGTCATGCATTCCGAATTCTATGAATGCGAAACTGCAAGTACTGAAAACCTTTGCTGCTGTTGGCTTGTAGTTCTCAATGAATTATTATGACACTGTTGAGTGCTTTTGGTGATTTATTGTCTTTTCCTGTCAGTGTGTAACTGCCTGCCCGTATGAGGTACGAGCAGACAGATACAATGACAAGTCTGCAGGGGTCCTGCATGGCACCCGCAATCTGCTAATGGTGGGTGCAATGCTTTATAGGCTCCAAGTAATAAAAATAATAAATGCACATGTTTTTAAAGGTAAACTTATCCTTTAACTTGATGCATAAAAAAATCCATATTTAAAAAAAAATAGAATAAATATTTAAAGCAGACCAGCCAGAGATGGGTGATCAAGGCACAATATCCCTTATTCATGTCATAAAAACAAAACTATCTACCAATAGTACTTGGTGTAAAAACAATCAGCAGAAGAAAGGCCATATATTTCAAATCATAATATTTTATTATACAAATCTGTAGTAAAAACATGAAAATTTGATTTAGAAATTCATAGGTTGCAATAAATATCCATATTTTAGAAGCTTCAAATTATCCTAATACCTCTGGGAATTTTCTCTCTCCATCCTATCTAAATCTTCATAAAATAAATAGAATTGATGGCAGCAACACGTCTTAAAAAGTTGTGACAGCCATATTTACCACAGTGTAGCACAGGGGTCCTCAAACTACGGCCCGCGGAGGACACTTATCCGGCCCGCCAGCAGGGTCGTATTTGCCGCGAGGAAGGGACACCAAGTACAGCGGCGGGCAGGGGGCTGCTGTATCTTCCAAAAAAGGGGGTTTGTGAAAAGAGATTCACAGAAAAGCGGCTACATTATGAACAGACCGTGACACTCAGAAAATTTTCCAAAAATTATGCTTTATTACACAAATATAAATATGACATATGGGCATTCGCCCTGGTTTACCATCACCTCAGTATGAGACAATAACACACAGACCTAAAACCATATAAAATGACATCAAGACCGGTCTAAATGTATGTGCAACAGAGAAAGTGACTGCAAGAGTCTAATATCTCTGTAGTACAAACACATAGGTAAACACTTCCCAAAAGAGGTGTATCCAAAAATTAATTTTGGATTCCCTGTTCGGGATTCACCATTATGATATTGGTGTAAATTCATTATTTAATATTATGGTATACCTATGGTATAATTTTTGGATACACCTCTTTTGGGAAGTGTTTACCTATGTGTTTGTACTACAGAGATATTAGACTCTTGTAGTCACTTTCTCTGTTGCACATACATTTAGACCGGTCTTGATGTCATTTTATATGGTTTTAGGTCTGTGTGTTATTGTCTCATACTGAGGTTATGGTAAACCAGGGCGAATGCCCATATGTCATATTTATATTTGTGTAATAAAGCATCATTTTTGGAAAATTTTCTGAGTGTCACGGTCTGTTCATAATGTAGCCGCTTTTCTGTGAATCTCTTTTCACAAACCCCCTTTTTTGAATGCCTTTTTTGGCTACTGAATGGAAACCAAACATTGGGTGACACGACAACTTAATTAACAACCTCTTAATAACTACCTATAGTATATAGGCTGCTGTATCTTACCTGGCTCCGGTTCCAGTTCCACGACGATCCAGTCCAATAAGCGCTGCTCCTTCATTCACTCCGGCCACTCCCTCACTCGATGTTCGCATTGCCGCTCAGCTCCACCTCCTCACCAGTGATTGGGTACCAGACCTGTAGCTCAGGAAAGGCACACAGGCGGCCAATCACCTGTGAGGAGGCGGAGCTGAACGGCCTCCCGAACATCGAGTGAGGGAGAGGCCGGAGTGAAGGACAGCTGACAGATAAGTGTGCCGTGCAGATGGTGCTGTTGCAACCAGGTATGCTGGCTGCAGCAGCACCATGCTGGAATAGGGGTCAGCAAGTTAAGTGTCATTGGTGTCAGTGGGAGGAATAGTGCCCCATCATTGGTGTCACTAATACTAATGATGGGGCATTATTCCTCCCACTGACACCAATCATGGGGCACTATTCCTCCCCCCACTGACACCAATGATGGGGCACTATTCCCCCCCCCCCCCCCACTGACACCAACGATGGGGCACTATTCCACCCCCCACTGACACCAACAATGGAACACTATTACTTCCCCCACTGACACCAATAAAGGGGTACTATTCCTCCCACTGACACCAATGATGGGACACTATCCCCCCCCCCTCCCCACTGACACCAATGCCAGGGCACTATTCCCCCCCACTGACACCAATGACGTACTATTCCTCCCACGGACACCAAAGATGGGGCACTATTCTTCCCACTGATACCAATGATAGGACACTATTCCTCCCACTGACACCAATGATGGGACACTATTCCTCCCACTGACACCAATGTTGGGACACTATCCCCTTCCCCCACTGACACCAACGATGGGGCACTATTCCTCCCCCCATTGACACCAACAATGGGGCACTATTCCTCCTCCCACTGACACTAATGATGGGGCACTATTCCTCCCCCCACTGACACTAATGATGGGGCACTATTCCTCCCCCCACTGACACTAATGATGGGGCACTATTCCTCCCCCCACTGACACCAATGATGGGGCACTATTCCTCCCACTGACACCAATGATGGGGCACGATTCTTCCCACTGACACCAATGATGGGGCACTATTCCTCCCACTGACACCAATGATGGGGCACGTTTCTTCCCACTGACACCAATGATGGGGCACGTTTCTTCCCACTGACACCAATGATGGGGCACGTTTCTTCCCACTGACACCAATGATGGGGCACGTTTCTTCCCACTGACACCAATGATGGGGCACGTTTCTTCCCACTGACACCAATGATGGGGCACGTTTCTTCCCACTGACACTAATGATGGGGCACTATTCCTCCCCCACTGACACTAATGATGGGGCACTATTCCTCCCCCCACTGACACCAATGATGGGGCACTATTCCTCCCACTGACACTGATGGGGCACGATTCTTCCCACTGACACCAATGATGGGGCACTATTCTTCCCACTGACACCAATGATGGGGCACTATTCCTCCCATTGACACCAAGGATGGGGCACTATTTCGCTCCATAGGACACACTTGGGGGGAAATGTCTGTGCGTCTTATGGAGCGGCCGGCCCAGTATTCCCGCCGCCGTTGTATGTCCGCAGTCTCTGGTCATCTCTTGTACTGTGCCCGCATTTGTTCATAGTTCATAGTTCTTTTTTTTTTTTTTTTTTTTTTAAACTATAGTCCGGCCCTCCAACGGTCTGAGGGACAGTGAACTGGCCCCCTGTTTAAAAAGTTTGAGGACCCCTGGTGTAGCATTTCCTATTCTTTTAGCAACACTCTGTATGTGTGGGAACTGAGGAGACTAGTTTATGGATGTTTGGGAGAGGAACGTTATCCCATTCTTACTGTATAAGATTAAACTGCTCAACAGTCCAGGGTCGTTTTTGTTGTATTTTATGTTCCAAAATGGTGAAAGGTCTGGACTGCAGGAAGGCCAGTTAAACACCCAAGATCTTCTACTACGAAGCCATACTGTTGTGATAGATGCAGTATGCAGTTTAGTATTGACCTGTTGAAATATGCAAGGCCTTCCCTGATAAAGACATTGTCTGGTTAGGAGCATATGTTGCTCTAAAACCTGTATATATACTATATTGCCAAAAGTATTGGGACACCCCTACAAATCATTGGATTCAGGTGTTCCAATGACCATGGGTGTATAAAATCAAGCACCTAAGCATGCAGACTGCTCCTACAAACGTTTGTGAAAGAATGGGTCGCTCTCAAGAGCTCAGTGAATTCAAGCGTGGTATCGTGATAGGTTGCCATCTGTGCAATAAGCCCGTCCATGAAATTTCCTTGCAACTAAATATTCCACAGTGAACTGTTAGTGGTATTATAACAAAGTGGAAGCAACTGGGAACAACATCAACAAAGTGGTAGGCCATGTAAAATGACAGAGCGGGGTCAGCGCATGCTAAAGCGCACAGTGCACAGAAGTGTCCAACTGTCTGCAGAGTCAATAGCTAAATACCTCCAAACATCATGTGGCCTTCAGATTAGCAGAACAACAATGTGTAGAGAGCTTCATGGAATGGGTTTCCATGGCCTAGCAGCTGCATCCAAGCCTTACATCACCAACTGCAATTCAAAGCATGAGATGCAGTGGTGTAAAGCATGCCACGACTGGACTTCAGATCAGTGGAGACATGTTCTCTAGAGTTGCGAATCACACTTCTCTGTCTGGCAATCCAATGGACGTGTCTGGTTTTGCCGGTTGCCAGGAGAACTATAGTTGCCTGACTGCACTTTGCCAAGTGTAAAGTTTGGTGGATGGGGATTATGGTGTGGGGTTTTTTTTTTTTCAGGGGTTGGGCTTGGCCCCTTAGTTCCAAGTGAAGGGAACTCTTAAGGCGTCAGCATACCTAGACATTTTGGACAATTTCATGCTCCTATATTTGTGGGAACAGTTTGGGGATAGCCCCTTCCTGTTCCAACATGACTGCGCACTAGTGCACAAAGCAAGGTCCATAAAGAGTTTGGGGTGGAGGAACTTGACTGGCCTGCTCATAGTCCTGACCTCAAACTGATAGAACACCTTTGGGATGGATTAGAGCGGAGACTGTGAGCCTTCTCGTCCAACATCAGTGCCTGACCTCATAAATGCGCTTCTGGAAGAATGGTCAAACATTCCATATACACAGTCCTAAACCTTGTGGACAACCTGCCCAGAAGAGTTGAAGCTGTTGTAGCTGCAAAGGGTGGGCCAACTCGGTATAGACTGACTCAGTATAGACTACAGACTAGACTAGTATGCTGCTAACATTCATGTGTGTGTAAAGGCAGGCGTCCCAATACTTTTTCAATATAGTGTATCTTTCAGCATTCATGGTGCCTTTTCAGTCAGCCAGCCATGTGCAAGCTGTCCATTCCATATGCACTAGTGCACTCCCGTACCATCAGAAATGCAGGTTTTTGAACTGAGCGCTGATAACAAGCTGGAAGGTCCCTCTCCTCTTTTGTCCAGATGGTTGCCAAAAAGAATGTCAGATTTTGATATTTCTGACCACAGAACAGTTTTCCACTTTGCAACAGACCATTTTGAATTAAATGAGCTTTAGCCCAGGGAGTACAGCTGTGTTTCTGGATCATGTCTAGCTAGATAAGACTTCTGCTTTGCATGATAGAGCTTTACCTTGCATTTGTGGATGGCACGGTGAACTGTGTTCACACAGAGTAAATTTTGGAAATATCCTTGAGCCCATACAGTTTTGTTCATCACAGAATCATACCTGATTTTAATGCACTGCCATCTGAGGGCCAGAACATCATGGGCATTCATATTTAAAGTCTTTGCAATTTCATGATGAGGAGCATTTTGAAATTGTTTGAAAAGTTTTAGACACAGCTTTTCATAGATTTATGAACTTCTGCCCATCATTTCTTCTGAGACACTCTGACTTTCTAAGATGCCCTTTTTATACCCAATAATGTTATTGACCTTTTGCCAATTAACCTAATTTCTTTCAAAATGTTCTCCCAGCTTTGAGAGACGTGTTACTGCCATCAATTTCACAATTACCTTATTTTTTTTCTTTAAAACTGTACATTTTCTCAGTTTAAACATTTGATATGTTTTCTGTTGTGAATAAAATATGGGTTTATGAGATTTTCAAATCATTGCATTCCACATTTTTGGTATTTGGGTTGTATATACAGTGCATCCAGAAAGTATTCACAGTTCTTAACTTTTGACACATTTTGTTATGTTACAGCCTTATTCCAATATGGATTAAAATAATTTTTTTCCTCAACATTCTACAAAAACAATACCCCATAACGACAACATGAAAGAAGTTTGTTTTGAAATCTTTTCAATTTATTAAGAATAAAAAAGGAAAAAAAAAAAAACATATACAGAAGTATTCACAGCCTTTGCTCAATACTTTGTTGAAGCACCTTTAGCACCGATTACAACCTCAAGTCCTTTTGAGTATGATGCTACAAGCTTGGTACACCCATTTTGGGGCAATTTATCCCATTCTTCTTTGCAGTACCTCTCAAGCTCCATCAGGTTGGATAGGGAGCGTTGGTGCACAGCCATTTTCAGATCTCTCCAGAGATGTTCAATCAGCTTCAAGTCTGGGCTCTGGCTGGGCCACTTCAGGACATTCACAGAGTTGGGCCGTAGCCACTCCTTTGTTATGTGGGCTATGTACTTAGGGTCATTGTCCTGTTGAAAGATGAACTGTCGCCCCAGTCTAAGGTCCAGAGCGCCCTGGAACAGATTTTCATCACGGATAGTTCTGTGCATTGCTGCATTCATCTTTCCTTGGATCCTGACTAGTCTCTCAGTTCCTGCCGCTAAAAAACATCCCCACAGCATGATGCTACTACCACCATTCTTCACTGTAGGGATGGTATTGCCCAGGTGGTGAGCGGTGCCTGATTTCCTCCAGACATGAAGCTTGGCATTCAGGCCAAAGAGTTCAATCTTTGTTTCATCAGACCAGAGAATTTTGTTTTCCATGGTCAGAGTCCCTCAGGTGCCTTTTGGCAAACTCCAGGCTGGCTGCCATTTGCCTTTTACTGAGGAGTGGCTTCTGTCTGGCCACTCTATCATACAGGCCTGATTGGTGGAGTGCTGCAGAGATGGTTGTTCTTCTGGAATGTTCTCTCTCCACAGAGAAATGCTGGAGCATTTTCAGGGTGACCATCGGGTGCTTGGTTACCTCCCTGGCTAAGGCCCTTCTCCCTCAAGCGCTCATTTTGGCAGTGCGGCCCGCTCTAGGAAGATGGTTCCAAACATATTCCATTTATGGATGATGGAGGCCACTGTGCTCATTGGGACCTTCAATGCTGCAAAATTTTTTCTGTACCTTTCCCCAGATCTGTGCCTTGATACAATCCTGTCTTGGAGGTCTACGGACAATTCCTTGGACTTCATGGCTTGGTTTGTGCTCTGACATGCGTTGTTAACTGTGGGACCTTATATAAACCGGTTTTACCTTTCCTAACCATGTCCAATCAGCTGAATTTCCCACAGATGGACTCCAATCAAGTTGTGGAGACATCTCAAGGATGATCAGCTCAATTTTGAGTGTCATGGCAAAGGATGTGAATATTTATGTACATGTGGGTTTTTTTATTTTTAATAAATTGCAAAGAATTCAAAACGAACTTCTTTCACGTTGTCATTATGGGGTATTGTTTGTAGAATGTTGAGGAAAAAAATGAATTTAATCCATTTTGGAATAAGGCTGTAACATAACAAAATGCAGCAAAAGTTAAGCACTGTGAATACTTTCTGGATGCACTGTACTATATCTTGATAGGTTGTACAATAATGTTAATGCACAATTTTCATACAGTATGTCTTGTAGTATACACGGTGGATTTAACATATAGAGCATAGTCAGCAAGCTTGATGCATTTCGTGTTTAGCTTTGAAAGGAAGACATAAGGAATTTATGCTGTTATTTAAACAACAATGAGTGTATCATAATAACGCAATGAAAGTGCATGCAATGTAAAAAACAAAACAAATATAAGTCAAAGCCAATAGAAAAAGTGAGACTTACATAAAATAAATCAGAGCCACATGTCCTTGGTGTTCAGGGCAGACATGAGGGGAACCAAGTAAAGGCCAACAGTGTGTTTCTCTGTGGTAAATTCACAGAGGTAAATAGGTAAAATTGTCCTTTGCATGGAACTCGGGTGTGAATATACATATTAATATTGTATTATCTGTGACATTCTCCACACATGTGGCTCTGATTTATATTATATTGATTTAAATTCTTGTATTGGTTTTGATGTATATATTTATCTTTACATTGAGTGCATTTTCACTATGTTATTATGATACACTAGTTGTCTATATGATACCAT